TTATTGATGGCTGAGGTGGCAAGTCTTAAACAAGAGATTAGAGGGCTTAAGCACGAGAATAGAGTGTTACACATGCTTGCAAATAATTACTTGATGAGCATGAAAAGAAAGCTCAACCAACTACTGGAATCCGAAGATCAGACTCAAAATGACAATTAGGAGTTCGAGTCTTTATTCCAAAGACACCCATTGTCTCAGCCGTCTAGAGTTTCACCAAGTATTGAGGCTCCAAATAATCAACCTCTGGTGCCTCCCTTTTCTGGGGTACTTCCGAGTATTAAGGCTTCACATGAGCAACCTTTGTGAAGATTCCTTCCTGCTTGGTTGTTTTAACTCATGTGTATGTAATTTCTCGGAGATATTAATAGATAAGCTTTATTTCATTCAATGTATTATGCCAAATACAATAAAGCATATACTTCACTAAGATGTGGTATTTCTGGACCAAATATCAATTTATCTTTACCTTCACTAAGATAAATGATCATTCTTAGTGTCTAAATAATTTGAGTATTCAACTCATAATCTTCAATTCATATGATTCTTTATAAACATTATGGATAAGATTCATATTGGTATATTGTTCGATTCTGCAATTCGAGACAATATCTCTCTCAACACTTTATAAACTTTCTAGACTCTTTAGGAGTCTAAATCTAATATTATCGACTCTTACAAGAGATTTTAGTATGTTACAACAATATCATAATGATACTCACTAAGGCAATTTATATCATCCATTAGTATTTAAGTACATATTTTATGTTTTACTCTTCCAAGGTTTTCTTCAAGCAATTTGAATCCTTTAGGGATTTTCTTCACTTCATGACACATTTTCCTTTGGAATTTATACAGAGCAACGTGCTTCCATGTATATTTGAGGGATTTACTTATGGAGATATGATGTGGGCGACTCATAACCCTTTGTATATAATTCTCCATTCATATGAACTTGTTTACAAGAGCATAATTTCAGGTTTTAATTAGTAACCTTGTGTCATATCATGTGAATGTAATTCACTGTATTACAAATGCTCATAGGTAACCTCATTTGGTTCAATATCTTTTGGCTATTTGTATTATATGCACATATATAGGTCCATTTTTCCACGTTCTTACAAGATTGTAATGGAATTACCTTTCTCCATTTTTGGCAAATAATATTTCCTTTCGTCGACGAACAAAAGAACGTGACTCAATATTAATATAGTTCATTGATGAATTTAGTAGCTACTTGTAAAAACCAAAATTACCATTGGTTGTCATCAATCATTGATCCCATATTCTCATGTGCATGCACATGCATAAAAGCTTTTCATTTCTTTGGATATCCATTGCCTCTTCAAGGGCATTACACTATTTCTTCCAGGATAGTCATAATTTAGAGAATGCGGATCATAACCTCCTACTGTTATAGAGCTGGGATTTTAATCTCCACTTTTGGGAGTTGAGTCATTGGAACCTATATATCTATCATGCTTTATGCATGAGACATCAACATTCCCACGTCCGCGGATTATCCTTTTTGGGACATGTATCCATACGGCGACTATCATGCTTCTGGCATGCAACAATTATACTTTGGGAATGCAATAGTTCAGTAGTGTCATATTCTTCTTCTTTCGAAGTATTAAACCTTTTGAATCTAAGGGTCTGCCACGCTTCATGCGTGTAACAGATTTGCTACCACATTATTTTGTCCAACAAGAACATCAATTCATGTAGGCACATTTGTAGCAAGTATATGTGATTTTATTACTTTCGTTGCATCATTAAATGCATCTGGCATTTGATTTGCACATCGTTGTATCATTCAATTATTCTCACTTCGTTTTTATATTGATTGCTTCATGAATCAAAATAAGACAAATTCTTTGTGTTCTTCTGGAACGGCCTTTGCTCATCATTCTTCTGAAATGATATTTTCTCATCATTCTTCTAGAACAAAGTTATTTTCTCCCCTTAACGGTGGGAAAACTGTCTTATCAAAATCATAGTCTGCAAGCCGCGCGGTAAACATATCCCAGTCAAGGGTTCCAAATGTTGAATGATAGATGGTGAATCAAATTCAACATAAATTCCCAATTTATCTTCAGGCCTCATTTTTAGTGCATTGTACCAGTGCAATAGGCACATAGATAATATTAAAAAACTCATACATGTGTAATATTTGGCTGATGCCCAAACACGAGTTGTACTGAGAAATATTGATGGTTGGTAACTGGTCTCAACCAAACTTAATAGTGAATTATGTATAATGGTATGTCCACATGTAGAAAACTTGCAATCTCATTTTCATGAGCAGAACGCGGGTAATCAATTTCATTCGCTTAATAAATGCTTCTGCTAAATCATTTTGAGTATGAACATGAGGAACATGGTGTTCAACATTGATGCCCAATGACATGCAATAATCATCAACTCTCCAGCAAAATGTATCATACATCAAGGAATTTCTGGTCCATATTTAATAGTCTATGAATTGGGACTCTCATGGCCTTTATTACAATTAAGTTGTGGCACTTTGACTCTTCAAACTTAAGGTACTTATCAAGAAATTTCATGCCTGATTTTGAGGATTTAGGGACTTCATTCCTGATCTTTTTTGCATGATGGAACTTCGGGTCTAATCATTTTATGTGATGAGGATCAAGAAACTTCAGGTTCTTATATGATCAAGGAACTTCGGGTCCAGTATGTACTCATCGTAACAAAAAGAAGTACAATAAATAAATTAAACAATAGGCAGTAATTCCAACCATGGTAAATAAATTGTTTTTAAGTAAATAGAGCTTGTGACAAGAGCTTTGATTCAAATATCAAAACTTTAAAGCAAAGGGTAATAATTTGACCCACTGTAAATAAATTGCTTTAAATAAATAGAACTTGTGATAAGGCTTTAAACCAACACCATGAACATAAATATGTCAAAACAGAAAATGCAATGATTAAGTCCTTATCTTTTGTTTTTTTTCTTTTTCTTGGTCTGACACTTTCTTTTATTTCATCCCTTTTATTTTTATTATTATTTCACAGTTCGAAGTCATTTTAGTTATCCAGGAAATAATAGTATCACTAAGTTCCAATTGGTGTTCCTCCTCTAGTGAGTTTCGAAAAAATTGAAACGGTTCCCATAAGTTTTGGAGCCAAGAGTGTCTGTAACTAATGAGAAGATCAAACAGTTAGATTTAGGTCAAAATTTAGTATGATATGGATAAGAGGATACCGAACAACTTTCGTGAAGAAATAATTTCGATCTGAGCTACTAAAATGGAGTTTTGGTACTCATAAGGTGCCTGTCCAATTTTCTGCGGAAATTGGAAATTGGTTTGGTATTTCAAGCATCTACAATGATCGCACCGTTGGAATTTTCTGAAAATTTGATATGTTGTAGATAATAGGCGGACGAACAACTTTGAAGAAGAAAGTGTTTCAATCCGAGGTCTGCAAGTTGGAGTTCCGATACTGTTTACATGGCTGTCAGATTTTCTACGAATTTTGAGTTTGTACTCTTTTGCTTCTGCAAAGGATGATATATAGTCATACAACAACATATATATATTTGCTTCAAGAAAATCAGTAGTACAAATATTTTATGATGAAATGAAAAGATTTTCTTATCTGTGAGATTCGAGGCAAGATAGGTGAACAAGATTTGTGGCATTGTGCTTTCCATGACACGAGAGCTTCTCATGCTGATAACGTGTTGTAAAATTGATGGTGTGTGCAGTAGAATAAATAAACAAGACACAAATTTTGCGATGTTCTTCTACAATCAATGTAACTAGAGTACATCCTCAGGATAGTAGTGGTGCTTTCATTATAATCTGAAATAATAAGATTACAAAGATAACTCTCTCTATTCTATCCTCTCTGCCATAAGCCTTCTGGCTTCTCTCTTCCCTTTTTTCTTCTCTGCCATGAGCCTTCTGGCTTCTCTCTTCTGTTTTTTCTTGTTTGATTTATAGGCAAAGCAGGAGCACCAAAAGCAAGCAGTGGCAGCTTCTAGCGGACGAACATGTAAAGTGGGATTAGTGGATGTAGTGGGTTGGCCATCCACATATTGAATGGCTCATAATATTATAACATTTTTATATTTTTAAGACTTTTACATTAATAAAAAAACTATTATTAGGGGTTGCTACAACAATCTTACTTATGATTAATCTTTACCAGTGTTCTAAAATCGGCGTAGGCACGCGTTGTATGGCTGACTGCCTATCCGATTAAGGCCTAATTGTTAGAAAAATTGGATAAATCATTCGGGCGGCGTTCAGCCAAGACCTATGCGGGCTAGGTGGGCAAGACGGTGTTGGACGGGCGGCAGCCGAGCTGAGTCTTAGTAGAAATATTGAAACTGCAACCGTATAATCTTCTAAGCCATCTGGGTAGAAAAGCATGCTCGGTGGCGATCGAGAAGAGACGAAGAAGATGATGAATAGTAAAAACTTTTTAAAATAACCCAACCAAACGACGTCGTTGATTTTAATTGAATTCCCATATAGCGTCTTTGCATTGAACTTTAATAATGAGCTTCCGGACAAATTGGGATTGTCACCACCAAACTAGTAAGGTCCAAAATGAACCCAAAAAATATCTATAAATAAAAGTTGTCACTTAATGAATTTTTTATACTATTTATTAACAGAACAAATCTTTATCAATAAAAAAATTAAGGAAAATGCAAGTTTTAGTGTAAATAAACAATTATTTATATGATATGTAACAAATTTATTTAAATTCGTTTAATTCACATGGACTTCTGCCTAAGTCCTAACCAGCCGTCCGATTGGCACCTAACATCTTTTAGAATCATAATCTTTATTATTGAATTCTTTGATCTCATTTACGTTTTTCATTTGATTTTTTTATTAATTTAACCTTATTTTTTAATATAACATGTACGTCATATTACCTGTTAATTTTCCTGGACCACATTCGGTCGGATTTTATTTTAATAAATATTATACGGCATGACGGTTAAGCTATGGAGATGTCTCGATGCGAATGCCAGGTGCCCACAATAGAATCTGAAAATGCATCATTCTACCCTTAAGATCCTTTCTCCGAAGCCCCTTTTTTCTCCTCAATCTCTGCCCCGAAATTCAAACGCACCAAATCCCTAGCTTTCCACTGCTGAACTTTTCACCGTCTCGTCTCGATTTTTCCGTCGTTGCAATTGGTAATTTCTGTTGTTTTTTGAGATGGAGATTGAGCAAAAGCAAGAGGAGGTCATTGATCACTACGTGAAGCAAGCCTCATCACTCGATGGCTCCGCTCTCGGTCCCCTCGTCGCAGAAGTCACCTCCCACCCTGCCCTTTTTGCCTTTTCGGAAATTATCGCTGTCCCTAATGTTCTTCAGGTTCCCATGTTTCTATATATTTATTGTGGAATTTCAGTTTTCTGTGTATATTTTGGTCGTGTAGTTTCTGCGTTTGAGCAAAGGATGTATAATCAGAACTTTGTTGCAGCCAAAGAGAAAATAAAATTTTTGATTGTTACTGGGCTTTGTTTCATACGCATTTGTTTTTTGACTCTGGAATATGTACAGCTTGAAGGAACTGAAAATTCTGTGTACCTCGATGTGCTTCGATTGTTTGCACATGGCACATGGAGTGATTACAAGAGTAAGCACGCAAAAATCGCTTCATCTTTTGGTCGATTTTCTAATGGGTTTGCTATTCTCTAGCTGTTGGTTGATTGCTTTGGTCATCTTGCACCAAATCGATTAATGCTTGTTTTCCGCTTCCATATCTGTGATAAAGAAATCGAACAATAACGCCCTAAAATTTAAATATCAACAAACCTGTGCAACATGAAAACAAAACTCAGAAGGAGAAAAACCCAAAATTTGAGCCATCATTGGAACGTCTGTTGACTCATTGTATGAAACATTGTGCGCAGCCTCATTCTCAAGAACATGTGGAGGGTTTTGGGTGCCAATGCAGTTGGTGCTTTTTTCATATTAATGTTGCTTCAGGATATAACTGACCCATGTATACTTCTATCAAGGTCTGCTGCAGACTCATCACTTCATCACCAGTTTTTGTTTCTTACTGTTGCTTTGGAGATGTCGAAGAAAATACTTTCTTATACTTATTTACTGATAAGATGAATAAATGGAGGCAGCAACATATTTTCGTTAGAAGAAGTGTAAACTGGCACATTTGTTTTAAAGCAACTGCCGTATCTTTTATTAAATTCTACTACTATGTCTTTTATTATTCCCTCCATAACATTTAAGCTTTTCCTTACTACAATAGTTTTTGAAATTCGGGAGATATTGTCAATTCCCAGGAGAACTACTTCCCATAAAGTTTCTGAGTATATTTTCTTTGAAACAAGAAATTAAGCATCTCTTTGGCATTGTTATGGAATTTAAGAAACTGAAATGTATTGTAGGTGATGCCAGTCGTCGTCCACAACTGGTCCCTGATCAAGTCTTAAAGCTGAAACAGCTTACTGTTCTTACGCTGGCTGAGACAAACAAGGTATGTTTCCTTAAATGCGTAATCCTTTTATTTTGAAAAGTTGTTGGTGATATACATCTAGTAATGGTTATGGCTGTATGGTTTTCCAATATGAATATATGGAGCTTATCACCTTTGGTACTTGATGTCCTCCATGCTTCAAAAAATATGTCATCAAAAGTGAAAGGAGAGGAAAAATTATCATCACTTTTAGACAAGTCTTATGGACAGATGTTTGTTTTAGTTGCACTTGGAGGAAAGACTGCAGTTACCAATTGAATTCTGAATGTGATAGATATAGATGATGGTGCCTTTTACTGCAAACGATGATATGAAAAGTTATATGGAATGCCAGACGCTTATTAGTTCCAATCAAAATTCAGAACAATAGTGGACTTACAGGTCTTAGTATCTGATGCCTTTGATATTTTAAGTATTGGTGTTCTAGTTCACTATTGTGTTGATATCCGGTTTTTATATACACAGATGTCCCATATTTTCCAGGTACTACCGTATCATCAACTTATGCAGGAGTTAGATGTTATCAATGTACGAGAGCTCGAGGATTTTCTCATTAATGAGTGCATGTATGTGGTAATAATTCTTTCATCCTTCTACCTCTATTTTTTCCCAGTTACATTGAAATATGCATCTTTTACTGGACAAAAAGGTTTCTTTAGTGAAGGCTGTGGAATGAATAATCATAACTTTAACGAATTGTTATTCAAATACAGTACAAATAAACACTCTTCTCCCATCCATCTGTCTGCCAATTTGACTCAATGTGCATGGGCGGCAGGACTCTGCTATGGTTCTTGCCCGTGTAAGAATTTATTTTTGAATATCGGACAGTACCTGAAAATTGTTACTGTTAGTTTGGTCTATGAAGCACAGATATTCCAAATATTGCAGATGTGGAGTATCTGTAAGGATATGGCCCTGATGCCCCCCGATAACACCCCAACAGTTATCGGATACAGATTTGCAGTATTCATTACATTTTGTAAGTTTGACTTTTGGATATAGTGCGGCATGCGTTGTGTACATACGCATCCAGATGCACAAGGGTATTTTTTGTGTGAATCTTTTCCTTAAAAATGGGGGTCGTCCATGGGTACTTTTAAATTATAACTCACTTCTGAGTCTCTTATATAGATTACTTTTGCACATATACGCGTAATGTGATATATGCTGTTTTATTATCCCATCCTTGTTATATAGTAATTTATCCTGCATTTGTATCTGTGTAACATAGTTAAGTGGATAGAGAAAACATGAAGGAGATGTCAGATTGTAACTTTATATGTTTTCTCTTAGGGCATACTAAGAGGAAAGCTGGACCAGTTGCGAAAATGCTTTGAGGTTTGTGCTTATTACTGCTGCCTTTGCTTCAAATTATTTTTAATTTTTGTGTTGTTTTACTTGTTTTCGCTTGCCTTTTCTCGTTTGTCTTTGTTTATTTCCTTATAAGAAATATGGAATCAATTATTTCTTGTAAAATGCAGGTCCAGTTTGCTGCAGGGAGAGATCCGAGACCTGGACAACTTGGGAGTATGATTCAAACACTGTCAAACTGGTAACGTCTCTGATTTTGATGCAGTTTCTCTGTTGGGTTGTATGTTCAGTATGCATATATGGAACTTCTTATTTAGAATTTGGTCCTAAATATGTGCATTATGATCTGAAACACTCATGTCTGACCTTGATTGCATAAAAGTTTCCTGACTCTTTGTTGTGTGCAATCAAATGCTATGGAGCATCTGTTACCAATTTAATGAAATTGTTTCATGTGGTAGAGTTTATTTACTACTAATACATTAAAAAAAGCGGTTCCATGTTTATCGTAGTAATGCATTCTCGTGTTTCATCCAGTGTGCTGCCTTTGTGATATTTTTCTTCTAAGTTATTGATTTCTCAAGTTTCTTTTTGAGATATAAATCTGATGGTATTGCCTAAATTTTGTGTGAATGAACACCTAGGTTGGATACCTCAAGCAATCTTCTTATCTCAATTCAAGAAAAGATGAAGTGGGCTGATACTATGACTGAAGTGGCCAAGGAACACAAGAAAGAAGTTGGAAATACGGTGGAAGAAGTAAAGAAGTCGATTTCCATCAAGGTCAGTTTAATCCTGTTGTATTTTTCGTATTGCTTCTGCAAGTAATCCTTCCTAATAAAGTGAACAGGATCCATTTTGATGATTTGAACATATGGCATGGCATGGTAAAACACGATATTATGATTTTATTTTTGTTGATGTATTTCTCTACCATAAATGTGCACATCAGCGCCTTTTTTATGAGCTATTCTGAAGCTATACATACTCATAGATGAATGAGTTCTTTATTCCCACTCCACACACAAAACACAATTTTTTATTAGTCTTTTGTTTAGTTATTGGGATATGTTGGTCGATGTGTCTTTTACTTACATTGTGGCAGAAGTTCCCTACTGTAAGCAGGCCGACATTGACTTCCGGGGGCATGGGGAGATCTACTCCGAACCTGGAGGAGTGATGGACTATGAGGAAGACCGTAGTCGACCAAAGAGGTAATATAACCACCTCATTTTCTTAGTTATGATTTTTATTCGCTGTTGGTTTCCTCTCTTTTACTGCCAAAACTATTATCAGCAATATTTGTACCTTTGGTTCGAGTGATCAATATGATTTTCCTTCATTCCACTGTTTGATTTGGAATTGCAGGAGACGGCATCCTATATGTAAGAGTTGAGAGTTGGAGACGACGATTATTTAGGCAAGTTCAAGTTGCCTTGATTTTTTGTTCATGTCTTTCCCAGGTCTGTTGATATCTCCTTTTCGGAGACCACAATAACTCTGGTTATAAACATTCTTATTTTTCGCATTCTGCGCATAGTTCATTTTTAGTTTAGCTCGTCTTAAATCCCTTGAGTTGACATGAATGAATAATGAAACCACATTTGTTGGTGCGGCTAAAATGCTTTATGGATGGATATTCAGATACTAGGGCTCTACTTCTTTCTTTAATGTTATACGTAGTATGACGCTTGCTCCGTGGCACTCGAAACGCCGTTAAAGCATGCCTTGAGGAAATAATTTTGAGCGTTGCATTGCATTTATAAATTTATAAATGCAATGCAGCGTTCAAAATTTATAAATTTATGATCCGAGTAAAACATTCAAAGCAATCCAAATTACTTTGCTTTGCTAGAAATATGAAATTGAAAATAATTATTATAGATCGTAAGTGGCTTGTGGCTCACTTAGTTAAGAATATTCGTTCTTGCACTCGAGGTCTCGTAGTTTAAGCTCCTTCTCTGTAATTTAAGTGAGTTTAGTGTACGTACACTACCCTATCGTTTGTCCCAAAAAAGTAAAGAATTATAGTAGTTCACATGATTTTACTCCAACCTTGGTTGAGATTTTTCAGTACATTGTGGTGGTCTGTATATTTTTTGTGTATTTTAGAAGGGTGGATGGATATGGATTCGTATGAAAATTGTTCGTTATTTTAGGGTGTTACATTTACGTCATCATTTTGAAATTTAAGCTAGGCACACAAATCATTTTTCTTTTCGCGTTTTTGTAATAGGCTCACAAATCATTTAACAGAAAGAATAGAAACTAAATAACTAAAAAAAACATAGATAAACAAACAAAAATAAAACTTTCGTAACAAAAACACAGTTAAATCTCCATAAATTAGTAATCTTGGGACCAAAGAAAATCTATTACTTAAGTGAATGTTAAATAATTGACAAATTAAATTAATTATTAATTTATCAATCATATAATATTCCTCCTTATTTACTCAAATATTGTATATTTTATTTTGTTTCTCGTTTTATGAATTAACAATTCTATATATTTGTTTAACGAAGTACAATTCATGAGTCTTCTTATTTCTCCCATAAGTCATAGTAACACATCATACATACAACAATGGTTTTTAATCTCAAAGGTGTAAAGAAATCAAGAAATTATTAATTTATATATTACGCAGGATTTATATAAATTTTTCATTATATATTCTCTTTGATATTTAGCAAATTATTAATTTAGCACGTTATCTCCAAGTTGGGACCAGCCAAAAATATTATTTAATCGGCGTTATTATTTTATCGGGTATTCAATTATTGAGGTTCTGTATATGAAGCTCTATAATCAAATATAAATTGTAAACCATATGTTTAGGCATTGCACTAAACTTCTTGTTTCCCGTAACGACATTGTTCTCTGCATCAAGAAATGAATTTAGCGTTGTCAGTATTTGGATTGATTACCTTGTTACATCTAGCCACCTGAAGCGGCTGTTCCTCCTCCATCATCCGCTTGTCGGAAACAAGATCCCACCGGCTTGGTGCAGCTAAACTAGTGTCACACTCCTTAATACTACACAAACCACTCACCATGTTAGCCAAAACTATCCTTACCTTCCTTCTCTGCTTTCTTAATACGTGTTGAATATGGCCTTAACCCACAGGTCTTGAGGATGAAGTTGTCCTCCTCGTCGAGGTTTCCAGGGTTCTTCACGTCTTCAGGTTCTCGTGGCGCCACTGGAGAATCTGTTGTCTGCAGAGACTTTGCTGGTTAAATGCTGTCGTATTTTAATCGGTTTTCATTTTGCTCAAGCCATTTTCTTTTTATTTAATTTGTAATTACTTAAACCAAATTATAAGTCCAGCTGTAAATAGATGGTCCACGTGTCAAATTTTAAATGGGAGTATCACGTGGTAGTATAGTACTACCTAATAATTTCTCGAGAGAGTGTTCCAAGTGTGGGAGGGAGGGGAGATTTTTTAATGTGCTCGAATAACGGGACAGTCCGTCATATGTCATTATATAAGTGAAAGGACACTTAAAAAAAAGAAATTTTCCTCAACTTGTATAATAACATATAGTGTACTACTCATATTCTGAGCACATTCAAAAATCTCTCATAGGGAGAGTGAAGTTCAAAGCTCATTTTTGACGTGGGTTGCTTCCACGACTCTTTTGGCGTTTTGCTAAGGGTTGTTTTAATTATTAGATTTTTTTTAATAATCAACTGATTTTTTTTCTTCTAACAAACGATATTATTTACATTTAAGGGAAAAGTTAGACTTAGCCTCATAATAAGCTAGCAATAATGTGGCTCGAATTCACCATTGACGAGAATCGAACCTAAGATATCTTATTTACAAGTAAAAAAAATATCACTAGACTATATTATTAAATGGTTAATAATCAATTGATTTTAAGTGGGTGTAAAAAAAAGTTTAGATCATTGAGTAAGGTTTTTTATTTTTCAAAAAAAAAAAGTACAAAATATGAGTTTGGATGCACTTCGGATTGATTTCCAAATAGGCACGTGGCTTTGATAACATACATGTAAAATTCATGACAAACGAAATGCATGTTTAATCTGCTTTCAAACATTTCAGCGCCGCCCTTTCTCAGAGTCCTCCATTGCATTTGATTTTCGCCAACTTAATTTCTTCTAGTATGTCTTTCAACTACCGCTGCTCCATGTTTTCAGAATTGTCTTACTACATTGTTAAATCTACACAAAAAGAGAGAGAGAGAGAGAGACATGGTTCTAAAAATTCTTGCCTAGTGTGAACTAGGACATGCTTAGGTGTTAGGCAGTTGATCATCATCCTGATTAACTTTTAGACGTTTGAAAATTTAGAAAGTACACATTGACCCGCTTAGGCATCCGCCTAGCCACCTCTGTACTGGGTCTAGCCTGCCGTCCAATTAACATTTAATGTCTTTTAGAACTTTTATATATATATATATATATAATACACATGTTGATATATATATATATATATATATATATATAATACACACGTCCAGTTTCCGTACTGTTGAATGACATATATATAGATATATATAAATAATACACACGTCCAGTTTCCGTACTGTTGAATGACGTTATATATATATATATATATATATAATACACACGTTCAGTTTCGTACCGTTGAATGACATTATATTTCTACAAGTTGACGCTACAAGATTTATATATTGGATTTAACTAGTACATTAATTACTATAACAATTTGTATAATTTGAAATTAATTAAACAGAAAATTCTATTCCACTCCTGAAAAAAATTACTTTTTTTAGGAAATTTTGAATTTTAACAAAAAAATTATTATATAATTTTATTTAATGATAAATACAAGAAAAGGGGGAAAAAATCTAATTAAAGGTGTGTGCAATTGCACAGCATTTTTTTTCCCTGCTTTATATGGAGTGACTGATGGCAGGAGAAAGGGATTCATAAAAAATAAAAAATAAAAATGGGAGGAGAATGGGCTTTCTTAGGCATTCTGAGAGAGATAAATTGATAATGGAAGAAAATTAAGTAATTAGTGTAGAAAGCTAAAAAAAATGAAGAGATTTAGAGAAAATTTGATGAGAATCGAAAAAAATTAAAAAAATAGAAGATGTTTGGAAGGTGGTGATGAGAAAATGCAAGAAGAGGAGTGAGAAGAATGGCCGTTAGGCTTTTTGGAGAGATACTATGTTTAGTTTAAGAATTAGTCAGTGCACATCATTGTGTGTTCAATTTCAGAAATAGTGTCTGTGTTTAGTTTCAAAAATAGCTTAGTACTCGTGTTCAATTTTAAAAATAGTGTAGTACTCGTGTTTAGTTTAAAAAATAATTGGTTTTCAGTTTTCAGAAATAGTGTTCAGTTTCAGAAATCGTGTAATACCGTTCAGTTTCAAAAATAGTATAGTACCGTTCAATTTTAGAAATAGTGTAACACCTTTCAGTTTCAGAAATAGTATGTGTGATTTATTACTATTTTCTATTTTATTTTTTTTATATTATTTTTTACCTTTTCATTAAAATTTAAGTCATTTTCATTAAAGTTTAAGCCCTTTTGTCTTTCTTTTTTTTCATTAAAATTTAAGTCATTTTTTTATTAAATAAAGTTATAGGATGATTTTTACTTAAAATAAATTTTGACCAAACCCTTTTCATTAAAGTTCTTTACTTTTTTTTTAATAAAAATTTGTCTAAGATTAAAAACCAACACTAGTACTTGGCATTTAATTGTAATTTTTAAATATTAATTAGGTTTTAATAATTATTGAGTTTTTTGTAAGTAGGTTATACATTAATTCCCATAACCAAAAAAAAAAAAGAAAAAGAAAAGCTATTTGTCAATTATTATTAAATTCTCGTAATAAAAAAATCATATATTTATCATCTACTTTTCATTGTGTGCTCCATATATATGCATATGCATATAAATATATATATATATATATATAGCTATGTATGTTTAGATACTATAGTTACATACCAATACATTCGTACCGATACTTCCGTACTAATGAATTTTTTATTTATTATTTTTTTAATATAAATTGTTTTTGTTTTGTTAATTTTTGTTAAATATATGAATTTATAAATAATAAATGTACTATAATTACTAAAGTATGGTAAGTTTTTAAAATAGGGACTTAAATCAGATTTAAAAAACCACTAACTTTAAAATCTAAAAAGAATTACGCCCTAAAGTGTAAAAGCAGCTTAATTAAAATGTAGAAAAGTAGTTTGACCAAATCTCTAAAAGCCTTAGATGTCCGGTCTAAGAATTTCAAAAACCAAGCATCTAGATCAAAATGCCCTACGTAAAATTCATGACAAACGAAATGCATGTTTAAACTGCTTTCAAAGCCTCCATTGCATTTGATTTTCACCAACCTAAGTTCTAATATTCTTTCAATTATTGCTGCTCCATCTTTCATCACATCAAAATGTCTGACTACATGGTTAAATCTCCTTGATCAACTGTAACGTATATAGTAGAATATATATGTACACACACACACACGTTCAGTTTCCGTACTGTTGAATGACAGTATATTTATGCAAATTGAGTTTTCGAACTGTTTCAATACGAAACTGAAACAAACAGCTGAAACTCTAATTTGGCAATCATACGAGTAACAATACGCTCAGTTAAGTGAGATGCATCGTACTAACGCGAATATATCAATCCACATATTTCATGCACACGTTTGTTCGAGGAATGAATTCACACCCATTACATTTGAATTCCACGCCTATATATAATATTTTGTTCCACGTGGGAAATAACTTCCAGTGCATAGAGGATATTATCTTTGAAACTTGAGAGATTGAGACAGAAGGCATATGTCAAAAGTCATGCAATTCATGTTTTCATGCTTTCAAGTTTGAAAAGACACCAATACATGGAATAACATGCCGACACATATAAACATACCATGCCTAAACAAACTGCTCATCCTTTTTCGTCAAATAATGCAGAAACGGTTGCCCAGATATCTTCATTTTGTTGAACAAACCAATTCGGTTGCACGTAAACCGCTGCCGAAACATCATCTAACCCAATTATCAACTAAAATCACAAAGATTGAAGCTTTAAATGCATTAACTGTATGCAATTCTTCTTAAAACAGAAAGGGCGCTACGGCTATACATCAAATACATGTTGGAGATCAGAAAATGTGAACCATATAAACTACAACAAGAAGTGTGTGCGCGATCAATATAAGTAATGAAGAAAGCAAGAAACGTTGACAAACTTGCCAATTACGGCTTGCATGCAATGTCCTAAAGCTAAAATTTCGTCCATGCCTTTCTTCTTGCAGTTCGTAGGTGTCCATGTTCCATGATTCAACAACCGGTGGTTTGAAGTCAAAGTACCACAACTTCAAACTCTGGCAAACCATTTTATATATTTGTACTCTCGAAGACAAGACTTGGAAAGACTTAGAGAAAGACATACACAGGGTTTTATAGGCCAAAGTATCGTTTGAGAGAGGTTGCAACTCACTATCAATGAAGCATCTGACATATTCCTAGAGAATACACAACCCATTGCCAAAAGATGCGATGTTTAGCCTCTGTATAATGAACACCAATTCCAGTTTACAAATTAAGTATGGTGCAGTACCGAATTTTATCAACTGGATTGAAGAAATTTTCATTCAAATATTGAAATTGAATATTTTAAAATAAAATTGAACTTTAGTAGAACCTGTTACAAAGGTACGGAAGTTTCTCAGGATTGAAACCCTGATATTGAGTTTATAGAATCATGTTAAAAAACTATCCGACAAAAAGAAGAATCATGTAAACTTTTTGCTTCTTGTGAGAAAGAAAATTCTTAAAAGGTTATACACATGCAACTGGGCAAGATTGTGATTTGAGACAACTATATATATTGGGAAGGGTGAGACAACTATGGGAAAGGGGTTAACCAATGAGTTAATAATAATTTGGTAATTAATTAACTATAAATGAAGAAAAATATCAGTGAACCGTGGTGTACAAAATTATCGATTATGTTTGGCACAAATTACATCTAGCATCTCACAAACTACAATGAGAAAAAAAAACAAGAGGAAATAATAATCTACGTCGATGGCGAAAAGATCGTTAAATATACAACTCAGTTAAGCAATAGGTGGCTGCCAAGTGAGAAAGATTCCAGTTGGAACACTTGAAATGGTTCATCTCCTTCTTCCAACTTGGCTTTTGCCACCGAGCAAACTACATTCCTTTTCCTCTTAAGCGTTGGTGATCCTCCACCATCCGACGATAATACAGACGAAGATGATGGCTCCAGTGCGCAACGCTTAGAAGCCACACGACCCGGCTCCGAATCATGCGTGCCAATGAGGTGAGGAAAATTAAGCTTAGCCTTGGAGCCACGCATTTTAAAAGCGGCTCGGTCATATGCCAAGCCGGCATCCTCTGCCGTCTCATAGGTTCCGAGCCAGATTCTCGCCCCGTTCTTCTTTGGGTCTCTTATCTCAGCTGCGTACTTACCCCAGGGTCGTCGCCTCACTCCCCTAAAATTCCATCCCCTCTGTGGGACTTGAACAACACACGCTGCCACCTCGAAGTTATTTGATGTGTCCAAAGCATGGTTCATTATTCCCATTGTGTCACCCAAACCCTCGACAAGAAAATGAGCATTGCTAGAGCTTGGAGTACTTGGAGAACTAAGCAATGGTGCATCAAACTCAGCTACATCGGCCAAAAATGTCTCCTGGGTTTCAAAATCATCGTGTAGTAGATGCTGACGAATCGATTCCAAGAGAGCCCAGTTGGAACTTGATATGCTTTCTGTTGACATTTCTGATGATCTAATAATTTTATCAGTACGTACTTAGTATTCAGGGATATATGAAGAGTTGATGGTTGTGAGTGTGATATGTAAACCTGAAGGCTTTCGAAGTTGTGAGATATCTCCTTGTGAGGATTTGTATATATATACGTGGAGGTGTGCGGAGAGAGGCTTATTGTCATCCTCGTAAACTATGTTTACTATTATATTGAATAGGGTTATAATTTTCTCCTCCTACCACTGCTACTAATTTTCTAGTTTCTGGTTCTATTGGCAGGGCCCTTCCTAGGGCTGTTCTTGCCTAACTTTTTTGTTTTGCTTGCCGGGCTTTGCCCTCCTTTGTACCAAAAAAAAAAAAGAATAGGGTTATAATTTCCATGAAACCCCACTGGTTTTTCTTTTCGATCACATGTTTTGAATGCTTAAATATGGTTTTTATATTCGATTATTTGTCTCGAAGGTGCTTTCATTGGTTGTTGATTTAAAAATATATATATATAAGAAGGAGATAACTTGATATAGATCTAATTTTGTCAGCAAGTGAATTAGTTCAGCTCATTGAAATAAGTCCAATAAACGAAATTCCACGTAAGCTTATTTATAATTTGTACTGTATTTACCCCTTAGACTTAAATTGTGGTAAACACACAAGATTTCTTAAGTATGAGATTATTTGTGGTTTAACTAATCTCTTAATTGTTGGATTAGTTGTAGCAATATAATCACCTCAACCCCCAATTCGTTCATCCTTCCTTTTTTCTTCTTCTAAACAATTCCCTCTATTAGATCATGGAATCAATCCTCCTCTTTCTTCTCTCTTCTTTCATGAGTAATATTTTTGTCATTTCCTCTGAATTTGTTCCTTTAATATTATATCATATTTCTATTTCTAATGTTCCGACATGGAGGTTCCCAGCAATTTTCTTCCTATACAAGGTAGTTTATTTTTGTTTTGTAGGTAGATTATATCTGTTTTGTAAGTGTAAATCATTTTTCTTCTGATAAATTATAGCAATAGTCCTTCAACTTTAATCCAATTGGAGCAATGATCCTTCAACTAAAAATTCATTACCATTGGTCCCTCAACTCATCAAAACGTGCAGCCATGGTCCTTCGTCAACTTCGTTAGAACTTCTAGAAAAATGAGTCACGTACCATATACGTGAGGCTAAATCAAGGGGCAAATATGAAAAATCAACTAAGAAAAATTGTATCAATGGCCCCTCAACTTTAATTCAACTGGAGAAATGGTCTCTCAACTTTAACCAAATTGTAGCAATGATCCTCAACTTTAACCCAATTGTAGCAATGTCTCTCCAACATAACTCATTTTGACAGAATTCTAATGGAGTTGACGAAAAGGACCATAGCTACACTTTTTGATAAGTTGATGGACCAATGGTAATGGATTTTTAGTTGAGGGACCATTGCTCCAATTTGATTAAAGTTAAGGAATCATTGCAATTTACTCTTTCTTCCTGTACAATAGGTAGTTATTAGATTATATCGGTTGTGTAGGTAGACATTATTTTTCATATATTGTATGTAAACTACTAGATAATATTTTAGTTTGAGTATTTAAATATTCAAAATTTTAAAAATGAATAAGTGATAAAAAAAATTAAATAATTTAAATATTTTTATCTGAAAGGGTAAAATTGATATCAAAACATGTAATTGGATAACTGGATTCGATCCCAAAAATTACTTATGTTTTGGACCTAGATCCAAAAGTCCCTATAAAATATTGCAACCGTCCATAATTTTCTTGCAAGCAAAATTAACGATACATTAGAACAAATTACCTTATTACTTCATGCCATAAACACAAAGCATTGGTCATGGGGTGGTTGGACTCATATCTACACCATTGTTAAGAATGGATCATGTGCTGCCTCGACATCATTACTGGTTCTAGACTGAAACGCTGCCAAATTAAAAATAATATCCTTTCTGCATACTGGTGCTTCTTTGGTTAAATTTAGTTTCAAAATCAGCTTAGTTTTTGTAAATATATTTTCTTAAAAGAAAGAAGGTAAATTTTTTTATTCATTTTTACTACAAGCGATAGTACTATTCTAAGTTATATTAAAAGAAGAGGATTTTAACTCATGACAGTGAGTTAAAAAAAAAAAAGCTTTATTCACCATGACAAATTCATTTGAAAAATGATCTAATCTACCATAATTACTATTCAAAACTCAAAGGAGTACAACTATAACTATTCAAAATTATAGGAATACCACTATTGCATTGGAAAAAAAAATGCTTAAGTAGTGGTACTCCATTCACTTTAAAACTGGTAGAATATTAGAGCATTTCTCAACTTATTTGTGGCTTTTTATTTGTTATGAATTGTTGGAAATAATGTAGACAAGGGATGAAATAAAGAGAGCAACATATAGAAATATTGGGACAGTATAATATGAGTGTCTTTTTTCTTCTCATTAGGCTTCTTTTCGTAGTGTTAGCATTAGATGGAGGCCAAGCTCAAGTTTTCATATTTAAATCAAGAAGGAATTAAGCTAATAAGATATTACATATTGGTTATAAGTGCATGGGCATTCACATGATTAATAATAATCACAACACTCTCCTTTGCATGTTTATCAATTAATGATAGTTGTCTCTAAAACCTTGTTTGAGAAATCCAAATGGGACAAAACCTAAACAAATGAAAAAGAAAAAAAAAACAACTTTGGAAGTCATTGATAATGCGTTGGACACGCTTAATGATGTCTCGCTACAACCTTGCCACGAAAAATAGATTGGGATAAAAGCGTGGTTGAAGTGAAAGCGAGCATAAAACGCTCACACCAACCACAACATATCCTCAAAGATTTCCTTGATGATAGTAAGTGTTTATCTAATTGTAGCCATAAGACTTGAGATCCACAAAACTCTTCAAGAAATTGAACTTCAATAGAACTTTTTTAGAAAGTATGGAAGTTTATTAGGAGACCATAATTCAGTAATTAAATACTCAGCCCTAAATCAAAGACATTAATTCCCAAAATTGTGTGTATTGACTGGCCTCAGCCTAAGCTCCCTTTTTTGTGCAATGATATTGAGAGGAAGGTTGGACTAGGCCACACATAAGTCAATAATCGACCTTCCACTTACAAATCAATGAAATAACACTTGACTATGTTTAGCAAAAATTACTTCTATTATCTCACAAACTTCAAAGGAAAAGAAATTGGAGAGAAATAATATACGTCTTAAATGGCAAAAAGATCATCAAATGTATACAAACTTGTTGGTTGCAAATTTGTTGTCCCTTTATGTGTCTCGTTTGTGTTTCTTTGCTAATATTTGACACATGTCCTATGACTTAACTAAAACATATCTCTATTAACTTTTTTATTTGGCATTTAAAATTTATAAAAATCCAAAATATGAAAACAATACGCGAGCAACGTAAAAGTGTATGGCTGGTCAATCTTCATCTTCACTCTCATCTTTCAAACCCAACCAGAGCAAGGAAGAACAGTAAAACGACAAGGGTGAAAGATCCGACTTCATACAATTTGGATGGCAGGTTTGTGGTGGTGGCCGTTGGGACCGCACCATCCTTGGAGCTAAAGTGAGTGCAGAGGTCGCCGTCCATCGACATGGCAGTCAACTAGGTGAAGAGTTGAGTAGGTGAACAGAGAGCTTAGTAATTATCGATAGAGTATTAGGTGATTATATAGTACAGCAATGGACAAAAGATTGGGAGCTTTCCCACCTTGTTAACTAACAACCAGGGAAAAAGTGAAGATTAATGGTGCTAGGGTTTTGCTAGGGTTTGAGAGATGAGTGGAGACAAAGATCGGCCCGCCATACACTTTCTTGAAATGTACCTCCATACGCTGCTCGCCCATTTCTTCGTATTTTAGAATTTTTTTGAGGAGTTTTAACGAAAAGTTCACGTACTTTTTACTTTAACGAAAAAATACATTTTAACATTAAAAAGTCAATTCTGGTACTATTCACTTTACCTTTTATTTTTTCCTTATCATTAAAACTCAAAGTTTTCAAGTCATTTTCATTAGTTTTCCTTGTTTTTTACCTTTTAAATAGCAAATAAAAAAGTCAACATAATTATATCTTAGTTAAGTAATAGGATGTGTCAAAATGTTAGTTAAGAGACACAAAAGAGACATAAAAGGGGATAGCAAACCTGCAGCCCGAGAAATTTTTCATTGTGCTCAGAACACGTGATGGTGCACTCATATTTTACTATATGAGTGGAGGAAAATTTTACTTGTTAAGTTGCTAATTTTTTAACACAAGTATCGCATCACTTGTAATACGTGGTATATCATCCTGTTTTCTGGACACGAAAAATATCTTCTGCAGCCCAACTAGGTAAGCAATAGGCGGCTGCCAAGTGAGAAAGAGTCCAGCTGGAACATTTGAAGCCGTTCATCTGCTTCTTCCAACTTGGCTTTTGCCGCCGAGCTAACTACATATTCCTTCTCCGCTTAAGCGTTGGCAAGCCGCTACCATCCGATGATGAGACCGACGTAGCGAGCAACGTTTGGAGTAGGCCTGGCAAACGGGTCGTGTCTATCGTGTTCGTATTGTTTTCGTGTAACACATGTTATCTTAACGGGTCGTGTCGTGTCAATTGATCCATTAAGTGCTTGGGATCCATTTCAATTATTTACAACATCTTCAAAACATTTAACTTTCATACCTTAAGTATTATTTTATTTCAAAATAATACCTCCGTTATATTTTCCATCAATTGATCCATTAAGTGCTGACGTGACTGTCACATATATGCCACATGGCTGCCAAATGTTTGCCACGTGGCAAAAAAAATATTAAAAAAATAAAAAAAGTGAATTGAAAAAAAAATAAAATAGAAAAAAACTTGAAAACGCAGAAACCCACCCCACCCCCACAACCCCTCTGCCTCTTCTTCTTGTTGCAGATGTGAGTCAGTTGGGAGGGATAGTTTCAATTTTTTTTTTCTTTCTTTCTTCCTTCCTCTTCTTGCAGACTGTGGGTCGCTATGTTTCAATTTATTTATTTATTTTTTTAGGTGAGAAAATTTAGGTTTTAGGTGGGATGGGATGGGTTTTGGGATGGGAGGGGAGGTGAAGAGAGTGGAGGAGAGGGAGGTGGTTAGGATGCTT